TGCCAGGATTAGCAAGTCCCCCCGATGTGAAATAAAAGCACACAATTTATTTCAACCCGGGTCTTAAATATACCAGTTCTGAGACTGTAGAAGTGTTATACCACATATCTTATGAAATTCATATATCATCTATTTTAAACTTATGCGTCGATTTAGAATGTGCATGGATATTTTCATTGTTGGACTTTGGAAGCAGTCATGTTCCTAGTTATGCTTAGAATGCTTTTAATTAAAGTAGTTTTATATCTTTTTAAAAATCATTTAGTTAAATCATTAATTTTGTGCTCATGGATCTTTAAAATCTCTTAGGAGACACATGTTACAAATATATATGAATATAAAGGATATGTCATCTCGGTGGTCTTGGCTAGAACTGTTTTAATTAATCCAGAAAATGTAAGACAGAAGTTACCAAGAAAGAGGGTAAAAAATTGAGACTGTGGAGTTAAGAAAAATCCAGAGAAAGTTTCCCTTTCAAAGCAAGGACTTTCTTTCTTTTTTTATGTATGTAGATACATAAAATAAAACTATATGTATTTCAGGAATTTGAACAGTACTCTTTACATTACTGCTTTGACATCCTGTGCGGCTTTATCAACTTTCCTAATCCTTCACATTCCTCTACTAGTAAATAAAGAACTTTATTTATATCTTACATTCTTGTAATAAATGTTGTGAGTTCATATTTATATAGAACTATTTAAGTACAAAATGGTCTCTGAAATGTTAGTGGTAGTGACCATAATGCATGTTGTTATTAAGGCAAAGAAAATTTACATTCTTGAACTTAGTAACCTTTAACATCCATTTCCGAATCATAATCTTGGAAGAGGTGAAAAACAGAAAGACCTCCTGTCATCTCACAAATGAAATATTTAGTTCACTGTGTTTTGTTCCCTTTGCAAATCATTTACTATATTTAATTAAAAAGAAAATACAGAACTGCTTGACATTCCAGTCAAAACTGGATACCTCTTGCAGGCAGACAGGTAAAAACTAGCTGATATTTAATATTATATGTTTACCTCAGTTTTATCTTTAATAAATCCAAGAATCTTAAAAAGCTAAAGTGTAACTATTTAAATAAATTAATGAAAAAATAAAATTTTGCATTTATTATGCACTCTTTTCCAAGGAAATTTTGGCAAGAAGGTGTAATGAATGAAATACAAGACTTTTAGAAATACATTTTCAGCAGTGTATTCCAGAAATTCATATCTTATCAGCTATCAATGAATTGTTCATTACTTTAAAACGACAGATATTGGGGTAGGATTAGATAAAGGAATTCCATTATTTAACTGTAAGAAATGGCAGGCTTATGGTTGAAACTTTACTGGAAAAAGTTGATTGCTTGAACTGTTGATAAGGTATCTGAAAACAGGAGCGTGGGTGGTGGTAAGGGTGTAGTTGTAGCTAAATAAGAATTTGAGTACAGAATGTAAACATGGAGTTCAGCTGAAAATAAACAGAAGTGTCGGTGGGCACCGGCATTCCCCAGTTTAAAAATAACATAAAAACAAAATATTTTTTACTTTAACCACAAGAAAGAAAAGGAACCTGTTCATTTAAGGCAAAGGCCAGAGTAACAAAAAAGGAGTGCCTTAGTTCAATTCAAAACAAGGGAATTTAATTTTGGTTCCTACATGTCAGAAGATCCAAGAGAAGGACAAGCAAGCGTATTCAGAAACTGGAGCAGGGAAAGAGTTTGAAGAGATTAATATGCGGATTCTGCTTGCCACAGAAAAAAATGCACAGTTACAATGGAATGAACTAATGGGTAAAGGCTGTTCTACCCTGTAAATACTATTCAAATGGTATTTGCAGTATGTATGTGCTGTATTCCATATTCTATGAAATCCGCTCCTCGCTGATAGGGCTGACTATATTAAAGCAATTGTTACAGCCTAAATGGAGGAAACTTGGAGAGCAATTCAGTCCCAAAGGAAAGACAAGCCAGGAAAGAGTCTTGTAAATGATGTAAATATGAACTTGCAGGTGCTTGAAATAAGTGTTGATTTAATGAAACAAATCATCAATATATTCTGAACACACTGGAAACACATAGTCTTTAAGAACTTGTTTATGAGTTGAATGAACTGGCCTAATTGAATTAATTCACACCGAGGGTTTGTTTATTCTACTTGAATGAAGCCAAAGCCAACAATCCTGAAAGCTTTTTTTTTTTTTAATTTATTTTTTGTTTTGTGACGGAGGTGAGAAAGGAAAAGAGAGTTGTAATCGAGCCCTAAAACAGGCCAAATAAGGCACATATCCGAGAGATATTAAAGAGGTAGAATTAACAAGATTTGAAAACTTTGCAGTTAGACTGAGCTGGGACAGTCAAAAGAGATGTGATGTGGAGCAGGAAGAATAGAGTCAGGACAAGCTAATGTGAGATGCCTTTGTGTTTTTGGTTTTTCTTTTGTTTTTTCCTTTCTGTTGAGTTTATTGAGATGACGCTGATTAACAAAATTATGCAGGTTTCAGACGCACAGTTCTACAACACATCATCTCTACACTGTAGTGCACGTTCACAGCCCCAAGTCGAATCTCCTTCCATCACCCTTTAGCCCCCGCTATACCCTCCTCCACTACCCGCCCCCGAACCGGGCAGTCACCACACTGTTAGCCTCGTCCATGAGTTTATCTTTTTTTCCTCTCTTTTGCTCAATACCTTCACCCTCTAACCCAGCTCCCTGATCCCCAGTCATAAAAGTTTTGAATGGCATTTAGTGCTTCCAGGAATTGAAGCTTACTTATCTGTAGATAAACCAGTTTCTTTTTTGGCTGTATTGTATTAATTAAAACTGTTCTGTTAAATGACTCTAAAAGGGACCCCTTGTGTAATTTAGAATAAACAAATTTCTTGACTTTCCCCCTACGGAGATACTTTGCTGGTGAATAGAAAAATAAAGTTCAGTGGTTTGATTAATTTTACATGGCATTAGTTACTCTTTATGACTCCAGTTCAGTTGAAGGTATATCAAATTATTTAGGATCCTCATTAGCCAACTCAATTTTAGCTATCCCTAATAAGTATCTTATTTTTCTAATGGTAATATCTTAGCAAAGTTAAAAAAAGAAATCAGAGACTCTAATTACAGCAAAGATAATCTTAAAATACATGAAGTACATGAACTTATAGCCAATTAATAATTTTAAATAATATCACATTAATTTTTAAAACTATTAAAAGCTGTTTTAATAGACTAAGAATTTTCTCCTAATAATCTAAACTTTTATTGATCCACAGCCATTTATAGCAAGCATCAGCAACTGTACCCCATAAGCCAGATCCAGTCTGCTGCTTGCTTTTGTATGGCTGGCCAGCTGAGATTGCTTTTTATGGTGGATTTTATAGATGAACATTTGCAGTCTAAATGATGATAGAGAGTACTGGCTTTGAACCCCAGCTAAGCAACATGCTGACCCAAAATAAACAATTCCTTTCTTCTTGTTGGTACATCTGAATTACAAAAGAAATTAAATTCAGTTATAATACAAAAGAAATCATATTCAATTATTACATTTGTAATTTTGTGATAAAGATTTTATGGTGAAAATTTGTTTTCTATTGTATAAACATACCTGCATAATAGCTTTGATTTTTGCCTCTTGGCATGCAAAGCCTAAAATATTTACTGGTCCTTTACAGAATTTGTGGCCCCCTATTGTATTACTTTCTCATTTGTGTTTTTATCCACTCATGCATCGGTTCAGCAAATACTTTCTGAGCAACTCCCATGTGCCAGGTACTGTCTAGGTCCTAGGAACACTGTAGGGAACAAGATTTTATAAAAATTCTGCCCTCGTGAAACTTATATTCAAATTACATACATTATCACTTCACAACTACCTTCTTCCATTATTCCCATTCTATAAATGGGCAAATTGAGGGTAAGAGAATTTATGTTGCTTACCTGGAGTCCCTCAACTCAGTTGAACCCAATTATACCTGCCTCCAAGTCTTCAGTGAGCTTCTAACCAGTGGGCAGGGCTGGCTTCGTGGGCAGGGCTCCAGGCTTGGTTTAACGTTCTTCTGTCACCATCTGGAAATTTTTAATCATTTTCTGAACAAGTTTTTGAACAATAAATACATTTCATTTTGCCCTTGGCCTCCAAAATTATGTAATTAGTCCTTCCACGAAGGCAAAGGTGCTTCTCTCTTAGACCACATTTCTGCCAAGCTGTTATCTTTTCCTAACCACCACATAGATGTATCTATGAAGAAGACTTGAAATCTATCAAACGCTTTAGAAAAATCAGCTATTATTATTTTATATTCCAGTTCACCAAAAGACTAAAATTTCTTTGAAGGCTAGGACTGTCTCACGATAATTTTTTTAAAGTTCCTCTGTGCCTAAAGCTCTTTTAAGAACACATTGAATACAGAATGAATATTTTTCAGTGGCATTAAAGTCCATTAATATCTGAACTTTGTCAAGGGTAAGCAAGCATTGGCTCTGTCTCATCTGAATTTACTTCCATGAAAAAGCAAAATCTTAACCATTAGTGCTTTCCTCTAATCTACATGCATTTGTAAATTTTGAAGCAGATGTTAGATCTGAATTAAACAGAATGCAAGAACTGACCTGTTCTAGTATGAGGACATCCTTTGTCTGGCAGTCAGTGGCTCTGCAGCATTGGTGTCTTTGAAGTATGCTCCAAGTCTCCTGTATTTAAACTGGATGCTTTCCCCTGGCTGGTGTGGCTCAGATCGTTGGAGCATCATCCCACAACAGAGAGGTTGAGGGTCAATTTCCGGCCAGGGCCCTTACCTGGTTACCTAGGTTGCAGGTTTGACCCCCAGTCCCCGGCCCTGGTGCATATGGGAGGCAACTAACCGATGTTTTCCCTCTCACAATGGTGTTTCTCTCTCCTTCTTTCTCTCTTCCTCTCTCTTCTTCTCTCTCTAAAAAGAAATGGAAAAAATGTCCTTGGTGAGGAAAAAAAATTAAAAAGCATGCTTTATCTATCTTTCTTTCAATTTCTTGCAGCCTAGTCATTGTTGGATAAGCGAAATGGTGGAACAGTTGTCAGTCAGCTTGACTGATCTTCTGGACAAATTTTCAAATATTTCTGAAGGTTTGAGTAACTATTCTATCATAGACAAACTTGTGAAAATAGTGGATGACCTTGTGGAGTGCATGGAAGGACACCCATTTGAGGTAATCTGGTATTCACTGGGACTGGTTTTTTACTACTCTTCTCTAAAACCTATATTGATTATGGTGGTGAGGGGGCACCCTTATTTGTGTGATTTTGAATGTATAGGTTTGTCATTTTGAAGTATTTTGAAAGATGAGCACAGAAATAGATGTTTATAGTTATACCACAATGTTGAAATGTATATTGACTTAAAAGTTATCATTTAATGTAAAAATTGACTTACATGATAATATAAAAATTGTCCTAACTTTATTTCATACATGAATGAAATTCTTAAAACCTTCCCATTAGGTTACAAGGGTTTACTCACCTTACATGAAAAATTGTCTATAATGAACACTTAAACTTGACCTCTCATCCACAATAACTATGTCATAACAAAGAGGCACATTTTAGCATCTCCAACTAATTTTATGATTAGTTGTTACAAACTTCAGAATATGGGCATGACAATGATTTGGCCTCTAAGCATATTGAAGAGGTAGTATACCACTAGAAATTGGGTACAGGCCAAAGTGTTGGAATTCTAATCCTGATGCTGTCATTTATTAGCTTTGTGAACTTGACCCCTCTGTGCTCACTTTATTTTTGCCTAAAATGGGACAATGATCCATCTCATAGAGTTGACATTAGATGATTTGTGATGAGTGCTTTATCATTGTCTGGCTAAAGAAATGTTAATAAAAATTTTTCTTATTATGATTTTATAACATAGTAGCTATAATAGAATAGGTCATGCTTTGGCACAGAGTTCCCAAGCCAAGATTTAGCCTTACAGGCTTTTTAGAAGTTTAAACCTAAGATTTTAAATAATGATTCTGTACCATAGTACTCAAGTACTTCCTCATCAAAATTCCAGTTGCCATTTAAGTCTCAAGATCAGTCCCATTTGTGTTCTCTGATCTCAGAATCCTTATCAGGCCAATAACCTAATCACTATTTTTATTCACTTCAAATTTCTGAGTCAGAATGTATCTTGCAATCAATGACATCTTAGAGATAACATCTCTTTTTATATCATATTAGTATAAACAGTGTGCTGATGGCATTGATAGGAAGCGGAGGTCACAAAAAAGTAGGGTATATCAGATGAGGTGTCATGAAGGAAATAATATATGCTTTGGAGCTTGAAAGATGAGTTAGGTATTCAATAAATGGCTATGTCAGGAAGAGCATTCCAAATACCAGAGAATGTACATTTGGTGGTCATGACACTTTGGATCCCAGGAGATTCATACCAGGTGCTACTTCTCAGTTGTTTTGGAGACGGAATAAGCATATATGAAGCACTTAAAGAAGTAGATAGGAAGTGCTACATGTTAACTCTTATTATTGCCAGAATATAGATAACCATGCATTTATCAGTTCCTAAAATATAGCTTTGATTTGCTTGCAGGAGGACTTTAAAAATTAATCACACTCTTTATTCTTTTGTGACTTCTTTCACTCAGCATTATGTTTGTAAGATTTATGCACTTTGGTGCATATAGCTATGGTTAATTATTTACTGCTTATATAGTGTTCCATTGATTCAACATACCACTGTTGATTAAACCACTCTCCCATTGATTGATATAGGCATTTATAAACACTGCTGGTAATAAATTTACTATATATCTCATGGTACATAAATACAAAGCTTCACTAGAGTATTTACCTAGGAGTGGAATTTCTGGGTCACAGGATGGGCATATGTCCAACTTTACTAGATAGTATCAAAAGTGCCAATTTACATCTTTCCATCCATGTATAAGAGTCCCCTTAGCTCCATTCATATCTTTGCCAATATTTAGCATCAATAGACTTTTTAATTCTTGGCTATTTGGAGGATGTGTCATGGAAGTTTATTTACTTTTTTATGTAAGGAATAATGATTATAATGAGCATCTTTAAAGAGCAGTGACTCTAATTTGTTGTTAAGATTATGATATTAAATTTACCTTATTCACCCCTACTGCCCACACTGTTCCTTTTACCTGAGGTTGAGCCTCAGCCTGAACTGAGTGGGATCATTATCCTGCTGTACCAATTTGGATGGTGTATATCAAAACAGTTGTCTAAGAGGGGTAGTTTTCTCTGAATCTTTGAAGGACATAGTCTTTTTTACTTTGACATCCGTTAAATCTGTAGACTATTTGTAAAATATAGTCCTGTTTTTTCCTTCTTCTAGAATGTAAAAAAATCATCTAAGAGCTTAGAACCCAAGCTGTTTACTCCTGAAGAATTCTTTAGAGTTTTTAATAGATCCATCGATGCCTTCAAGCACTTGGAGATAGTGTCATCTAAAACTAGTGAATGTGTGGTTTCTTCTACATTAAGTCCTGAAGAAGGTAAGACAACTAAGCATTTCTAATTTAAATGTAAACATCAAACTTGAGTCTTAGACAAAAGCAAATATCAATAGCATAAAAGAAATTAATGGTTGTAGATTTGTTTTCCAAGTCAAAGCAACACTCTCATGAATTTCAAATTAAAGAATTGTGTGTGTCAACAATAAACAAGATAGTCGCTCATATTTTTCGTATCTGATATTTGCCAATAGTATACAATTATGTTATTTTTCACCTCCCATCTTCTTAATGTCCCCTTCTCAAATCTTTTCATACGGAGCCTGAGTTAAGAGTTCTAATCTTCACTAGTTACTCTGATTTGACGCTCTTTCTCCCCATCCCCCTTCCCCAAGGGTCCCTACGATAGAAAATCTTAATTACATTGCCTTTTTTTTTGGTAATGACCAAGTATGAACAGTTTGCATTTTTTACATTTATTAGCCTGTAGAGGCAATGAATCTTGGTTCTAGAAGGTGACTGGTAAATTTCTTAATAAAAAGAGAACAGCAAGACCCAGTATGAAGCACGTAGGATCTGAATAATCTAGATCGGGGAAGTGGACCTGATAAGTACCCTGGTATAGCACTCAGCCTTTTGGGGACTCTGTAATTTACGTAAATCACCATGCAACACCTGACACATTATTGCTTTCTATTTAGATTCCAGAGTCAGTGTCACAAAACCATTTATGTTACCCCCTGTTGCAGCCAACTCCCTTAGGAATGACAGCAGTAGCAGTAATAGTAAGTACATACATCTGATTTAATGCATGCATGGCTCCAGTTAGCATCTATAGGAGTATTGCATGGGCTTTAAAGGAAATTTCTACACTTATTACTGTTAATAGTGTGCCATTATTGTTCTTCCTGAAACAGTCTTCCTGAGAGTTAAATATTAGGTTTGTAGAAGTGGGGTTTCCTACACTTTGAGGTAATTATTAGGGAATTGAGCCAATACATGTTCTGCTAAGATTCTTTTAAATAAGGCATGAAATTACTTTTGGGAAGTAATTAATGATTTACGCTTCTTTCACTGTTGACTTAAAATATATTCTATGTAGAATTTGCCTAACAAAATGGAACTTTAAAATGGAAAGTGCAAATGCTAGTTGTATGGCATTCCGAGGATATTTTCATATATATATATTTCACTATTTACTATTGTGTGTTTGAAAAATGGATGATTTTGTTATTTTATTATAAAATTATATGTTGGAAGAGAGTGTGCTTCTTTCCATGAAATTTCTGTCCCCTTTGGCCAAGAGCCCAATTTCCTGGAAGTCTAATGTTCTCTTTTCAAATCTAGGCAAGATCATTAGATTTACTAAATATTCCGAACCTCTAGAACTTATGGAAGCTGTAAGAGGAAAAAATTCATTCTGTGATTCTTAAGCTAAGAAAGTCATCCCTTAAGGGCACTGTCATATGTTTAAGGACATAGAAGACCTATCTATAAAAAGAAGTAATCAATTTATTATAAATTGACAGTAGCAATTCTACATTTCAGAAATTTTAAGGAAGAACCTCTAATATCCCTTTATTTTTGCCAACAAAACCTGACCTAAATTAACATGAGCTATTTTATAGCTTTATCTTTCTAAAAGTAAACATTTATACATTTCTCTATAGAGATATTAATACATTTGATTGCAGGTTGCTACCAAGACCTCACTGAGGATATTATGTAATATATAATATATGTAGAACAGAACATCCTAAAATCTAAAAACTTGAAGTATACAATACTTCAAATCTGAAAAGTTTTGAAAAGGGACTATATATGTGTTAGTCAATTAAGGTCTTTCTTACTAATTATGGCTTTTATTAATTTTTTCAAAGAAGCAGCTTTGACTTCTAACATTCTATTTGTTTATATTTCATTGATTTCTAATCTTTATTATTTCTTTCATTCTGCTATGGGTTTAATTTGCTCAATTTGTTCTAGCTTCTTAAGGTCGCTTCTTAAGGTCTTAAGGTGGAAAAATCAGATCATTGATTTTTAAACCATTCTTCTTTTCTGAGTCCCTTAAATATATAAATTTCCTTGTAAGCAGCTTTAGCTGTATCCTGCACAGTTAAAAAATGTTTTTCATTTTATTTTATTTTTACCATTACCATTTATTGCACCCCACTCATTTTTATATGTTGTGTTTCCAATATCATTTTTTTTTAAAAATAGTTTACAATTTTCCTTGTGATTTCTGCTTTGACTCATGAGTTGTTTGAAGTCTAAAAATGTGTTTTTCCTAGATGTTTTATTGTTACTGGTTTATAAATTAATTCTATTATTTGCAGAACAAACATGATAATCTTTTGAAATTTGAGAGTTATTTTATGTGTATTATTCAGATACCAGGTGTAGCATTCTCAAATTTGATTAAAGTAGTTGATAGTGTTTTTCAGGTCTTCTGTATCCTTATTAAAATTTTTGTCAAATTTTTTATTCATTACTGAGAGACGAAAATGTAAAATCTTTTCTTCTCACTGTGGATTTGGCCATTTCACCTTTTTAAAGTCTGTCTCTGGTAGGCAGGATATAGTTGGGCCTTGCTATTTTATCTAGTTTTTCTGATTTTTACAGTATTTCATTTATATTTAATACAGTTATTGGTACAGTTGTGTATGGGTTTACCATTTTGGTATTTGTTCCATTTGCCCCATTTGTTTACTGATCCTCTCTTCCTCCTTTCCAGCCCTCATTTGGGTTAAGGGTGTGTGTGCATGTGCGTGTGCATTTGCATGTTCTATTTTAATTACTCTGTTGGATTTTCAACAGAGTATGTATCTTGGCATAATCTTGTGGTGGCTTTAAGAATTACAACATCTTAACTTGTAACAATCTACTTAGAGTTAATATCATAGCACTTAAAGAAATATAGAAGAACCTTGAGACAGGATAGTGTCACTTACCCACAACCATATTTTGTTCTGTGTTGATTACCCTGTCGGGTATATATATATCTATGTATATATCCGACAGAGTAATTAAAATAGAACACGCACACGATACACACCCCCCCGCCCCCTTAACCCAAAAGAGGGCTGGAAAGGAGAGAGGATCAGTAAACAAATGGGGCAAACACGGAACAAATACCAAAATGGTACACCTGTACCCAACTATCCAATAATTGTGTGTATGTATACACACACACACACACACAGTCATAAACTCCATGATACACCCTTAAACTTACTGATTTGAACCATCATTATCTTTTATTTTTACTCACATATTTATTATTTCTTGTACTCTTCATTCCCTCTTGGAAATCCAAGTTTCCATCCAGTGTTAGCTCCTTTTGGGCTAAAGAATTTCCTTCGCCATTTCTCATTAGTGCATGTCTGCTGGCCACAATTTTTTTTCTTTTAATCGAAATATGTATTTTTGTCTTTAGTATTGTAGGTATTATTTATTAGACATGAAATTCTAGATTAATAGAATTATTTTTTTTCTTTCGGCCCTTTTAAAGATATTACTCTGTTTTTCTCTATCTGTTATTCCTCACAAAAAGGCAGCCAACATTTGTATTGTGTCCTTCCTCTTATGTGCTGGGTCGTTTTTCCCCTCTGCCTTGTTTCAAAAATTCCTAGTTAGCAGTTTAAGCCAAACTGTGTGTTCTTTGTATTTATCTTTCTTATTGTTTGTCAAGCTCCTTGGTTATATAAGTTTATATCTCCCAAATTTGGGGGAAATTTTGGCATAACTTTTTATTTTTTATTCTCTCACCTCTGCTTCTGAGATACAGATCACATATATGGGACAGTTTGATATTGTCTCGCAGATAATGGAGATTTTGTTCAGTATTTTTTTCAACCTCTCTTCTCTTCATTCTTCAAAAATGAATAATTTCTGTTTAACTGTTTTCAAGTTCCCTGACTCTTCTGCCATCACAAAATCTGCCAGTTTTTTCACACAGTACATTTTGTTGCCATTTTTATTTTTTTAATTTAATCTTTATTGTATTTTTTCCATTACCATTTAGTCTCCTTATATCGCTCCTCCCCCCAGCAATCACCACACTGTTGTCCATGTCCATGAGTCCCTTTTCCTTATTGCTCAACAAATTAAGAATTTATTTTTTAGAGCAGTTTAAGGCTCACCACAAAATTGAGGGGAAGGGACAGAGATTTCTCATATACCCATGCGTAGATAGCCTCCTCCATTAGCAACATCCCCACCAAAGTGGTTCATTTGTTACAATTGATGAACCTACATGGATACATCATTATTACCCAAAACCTGTAGATTACACAGAGTTCACTCTTAATGTTTTACATTCTGTGGGTTTGCATCCAGTATAGTTTTTCATTGTTAAGTTTGTACTTAGTGTTATAGAACTTCCACTTGATTATGTTTTATATTTCCCTGCTGACCTTCCTATATTCATTATAATAATATATTCTTTTATGGCCCTTGGATATAGTTACAGTAGCTGTCCTAAAGTTCTTGTCCCTAATTTCCACGTGCAGATGGTTATCTCAGGGATGTGTTTTATTGACTGATTGTTTTTTTTTCTCCCTGAGTATGAATCACATTCCCTTCTAGATGGCTAGTAATTTTCGAGTACCTGCTGGTTTGATGGATACCGTTATTGTGTATCCAGACTGTGTAGCATTCCTTTAGATACTTGAGTTTTGTTCCAGTGGGTAGTTCAACTACAGCAATCCATCCCTCTTATTCATGGTTTTTGCTTTCTGTGGTTTCAGTTCCCCACAGTCAACTGTGGTCTGAATATATTAAATGGAGAATTCCAGAAATAAACAATTCATAAGTTTTAAATTGTGTGCTGTTCTGAGTAGCATTATGAAATCTCTCACCGTCCTGTTCTATCCCACTGGGATGTGAATCATCCCTTTGTCCAAACATATCTATTCTGTATGCAATACCTGTCTTTTAAGTCACTTAGTAGCCATAAAATCTCTCCATTCTTGCTCTCAGAACTCCTTTGTCTCTGAATGACTACTGCAGGCTCTGTTAAGGTCTTAGTTGCCCAGGCCTTGTTTTGTTTATTGTCAGATTTTGTGAAGTCTCACCCTGCACAGGTGCAGCTTATTATTTGACCAGTGGCTTAAGGAGACTCTTCTGGAGATTTCTGGGGCTCCTTCTCTGCTTGGCTCCTTTCCACAAACTCCAGCTGTGGCAGCGACCCTGAACCTCAGTCTGGTTTCCTATCTCATTAGAATCCTGAGCCCTACTTGGGTTCTATCTTCCATGCCTCTGTCTGAAGGTGCCTCCCAACCAGAAAATCAGAACAGTCACGGACCTCACCATATGTGTTTTCTCTCTCTCAGGAATTATACTCTTGTGCTGCCTGTTGACTAATGTCTGAAAACAGTTTCCTCAGAAAATCTGTGGTATAACAATTATCTAGGTTGGAAAGGCTCCTCTGCTACCATCATGGTTAGAAGCAAAAGTCTTTTCTACTTACTTTAAAAGACAAACTGAATACAAAACACCTATTCAGTCCTGTGCCTCTGAATCTGAAGGTACTTTTTAAATTGCAAAATGAATGGCCAACCTTTTTTTTTGTTTGTTTTGCTTTCTTTTTTTTCCCCCTGTTGTAAAAAGTATGGGTCTTGCACAATAAACATCTTTTGGCCAGGTGATAATCACTCATGAATATGGCACTTAGATACCCATGCACAAGACCTGCTCTTGTGGGGCTTGCATTCTCATAAGAGAAACAGACGCAAATAAAATACTTAGTATTTTCTTGTATGTATACTGTATATAATACATATATATATATAATATACAGTTAGCCTTTGGACAATATGGGTTTGAATTGTACAGATCCACATGTACATGTATTTCTTTTCAATAAATACCTGTATGTACTATTTTTCATCTGCAATTGGGAGTTCACGGGTGTGGAGATTAAACTGTATGAATTGATCTATGACGTTTTACATAGGGGACTTTTATATGCACAGGGGGTCCCGGAACCAATTCCCCCCACCAAGTCCCCTAGGGTACCAAGGATAGTTAAGTTTTGAGGGAGTTGAGAGTTATATATACATGGATTTTCAGCTGCATGAGGGAGGGGGCAGGTTAGTGCCCCTAACCCCTGCATTCAAGACTTGACTTTATATTATAATATGTATGATAATAGATGTATATAAATGATTTTAGTCAGAGCATAAAGGAGGTAAGGCTATTTCGGGAATAGGGTCCGGGCTATATGAAGAAAGCGTGCTCGTTTTCAGGGATAACAACCTGAAAGCTGCCGTGCTAACCAGAAGACTGGGCCATGGGAAGGGGTCTAGAAATGTGTACCCTCTCTGTAGCTTATAAGGGAGAATCCCAGTTACCAAAGGGAACTGTATTTTCAAAGTGACAGTACCATCTTTGGTATCAAGCTAAAAAGACATTTTTAAAATGTTTGTTTTGAGATCCTTGCAGACAGTATTTAACTGATATAGAAGGAAATCCTTACTCTGACATTATCGTATACATCTTTGAGAAATACAGTCGAGTCAGACTGCCTTGGTGCTGTATCCCAACCCTTGCCTAGCTGTTTGACCTTGAGCAAGTTACTTGATCTCTCTGGACTCCTGTCAAATGGAGGATCATACCTCCTTCATGGGGTTTCTGTGGGTTTCAGATGTTAGCACACGTGTACCTGGAGCCATGCTGGATGTGTAGAATGTGTTCATCAATCATTATTAGAACAATTGGATGCACTGAGGCTGTGGGTCTGTGAATGACAAGCCTATAGTGACCTTTGGTTCTGAATTAAGAAGCAGCACCAAGTAGCAAGTAGCGTGTTTTCTAAGCAGCAAGACATCCCTGTTCACACCGTGGTACTTAGAAACAGACTCACTGTAAAAAAGAGTTCAGCAAATTTGTAGCAGTTGTTTGTATTCATTTCTACAGATGTTGGGCATTAGTAGTCAAACAAAAGTCAGTTGCCATGAATTTTGGATAGTGGGAAGTTTTTGTCATGCTGATATAAAATTAATGCATTAACAACCCAGGAATTTGGAATTACTCAAATCCTATCCAGATGAGCTCCCTCTGTCTACGAGGTTTCTTTGGGCAGTCTTTACATAAAAGCAAAGCTTTGTTACTGGCTTGGCGTTCGGCCCCAAATTCCCTTCACATGGGCCTTGAGGCGCCCGATTCAAATCCCATTGATCCTTGATCGACAGCATTAGTAGCAAGTGTTGGGAGTCAGGCCCTACATGTGCAAGCAAGCCTTTTCTAATAATATTTTTTTCTCTCCCTCTAAGAGAGAAGGCAATATTATTATTAAGCCACTTGAACTAACAGGAGAAATAACTGAGGAAACCTTGGCCTGGATGGGAGGTGAAGCGTAGTTCCTATGGCCTGGTTCTTCCCCTCCTGCTATTTACCGGGACTCTCCCTCCCTCTGTCCTGCAGGAGGCTGGTCAGATTCCAGGACTTTGCCTGGGACCACGGTCCTAGAGATGAAACTTTCAAAGTGGTTAAAAAGTCACAGTGCTCTGAAAGTGATGTGAACTTTCCATAGTTAAGTTTCTCCAGCAGGCTTTGTTTGGAAAAACTTAGAGTGGGAACTCCCATATTACCTCTCTCTCTAATAAGTTCCTTCTGCTTTTTTGCTGTGGACTCTGGCTTGAATGGTACAGTTCAAGATTTGATCTTTGGCTAAAACAGGGAGAAAAGGGTGTTTGGCTGCCTTGATTACCTCCTGGATTCCTTCTGTCTCACTGGCCAGATGTAGCTCATGGAGTTCTCCATAGCACCACCCTAGCTCATTAGTTTTCCGTTGGTGCCGAGGGACAGAATATCAAGAGCTTCTTTTGTTCTCTTTGTTGACATCGGTTAGGGCTCCTCAAGGAGGTTACATGGTCAAATCTATCAAAATGATAGTAAAATTAAAATTCCTAAAATGGTAGGAATTACTTAAAATTTCCTTGTAGACAACACTTTTATAAATGGTTAAATCCCAGACTAGTGTACACAACCCTGAAAGTAACTGTATTGTTGTAGTAGTAGTAACACTTTGGTTATGCCAAATTCCATTTTATAACACTGGCTTATTTTGCTGAGAGAATCATGTTGAGCTCCAGTTTGAGAAGCCTAAACTGTATTTCCCGTGGGCTTGTAAGACATGGGGTGAGCCAGAAAAACTGTTAATTAAGTCGTAAGAAAGTGAGTCATTGTTATGTGAATGGAAGACCCCCCTTCCCTTCCCAGCACCGCGGTCCCTTACACTACATGCCCCTCAACACGGCACATGTATGTGGGCACAAACACATTCCCTGTTGTTAGAGCTTCTTTGGAAACACAGGAATCATAAAACTAGTGAATTTTCTACTTTCACCTTACAAGTAGTGGGAAGACAGGCAATTCTGTTCTCCCTAGAGTAGGTAAGATTTGTTTCTTGCCTCCCATTTTAAATCTGTGAGTTTATTTTTTCCTGGTAAATGTTGATACATGTACAGTGATTCAGTTCTTTTAAATTATGTTACTATATTTAGGAACTTTATACGTTAAATAGTTGACTGTAGACTGACAGTAATTTGAATATCATAGTAAAATATCATAGCCCAAAGCAGTCACTTTATCTTGGATTAGTTTATGTTTTGATTATGAATTATTGAAAATGTTTAATTTCTAAATTTATTGCATCTTCAAAAGAAAACTGAGATTTTTAACATCCAGAACAGCACATGTTAATGTTTCCAAACAGCGACGCTGTTCCCTGTCAAAAAACAGAGAAAAATCTGTCAAAATGTTAAGCTTTGTGTTGGGAGGTAGAGACCCTTGTGGGAGATGTGTTTTGGTTGTTTTTTTTTTTTTTTAAATCATGAATTATCCTGCTTCTCATGGAAGAGCAAAGCAGGAACAAGGGAGATGTTCCAAGCTAATAAATGTCTCCTCTCTCACTAAGTTACTTATTTAGAGTAAGCAATGGGGAGACACTAGTGCTTTCAGCCGTTCTTTAATGTTCATTAGTCTCAGGTTTTCCAAAATAAAAAGCCTGAGGAACCACCTTTACTTTACCACATGGTGCCGGTTACTGCCTGGCACCCAGTAAATACATGTTGCAGATGTGATGAGGAAACACCATGGTTCTAAGTGTGAGGTACCTAAAAGTAGTCTGACCGCAAGGGACAAAAATGACAGTATTTGCAGCTGGCCAGACATAGCTTAATGCACTTTATCTGGGTCACAAAATGTCGTCTTTAAACTGCTTGGCTTGATGTCAAGAATGAGAAAGTGAAAGATATTAGAAGATAAGGCCGTAGAAGGTGGATTTGCTTGTCAGTATAAATCCATTTCCCCCCCAGGAATACATCATCCGCATCCTCTACGCATCAATATTAACCAAGTCAAATCTCCTTTTGTCTGTGGGCTTTTTTCGTTTTGCAATGTATTTACCTTTTGGAGGCTACATTGATTTGTATTGTCATTCCAAAATAATACTCGGCAGAAAAATCAGCGTTTTAAGTATTTTGAACAGAGATAGGTCAAAAGCACATTACAGAAAGAGTTGGGAATGACCCGAACAATAAGAGCAAAACCTCTAGCGTGGAGATGCTGCGTTCACCATTGTGCTATTGGAATTGCAGGGAAGGCGTCATATTCCATTGGAGACTCCAGCCTGCAATGGGCAGCCATGGCATTGCCCGCATTCTTCTCTCTTATAATTGGCTTTGGCATTGGAGCCTTATACTGGAAGGTAAGTGCTGCTTTTGGACCAATAACTTTCTGAACTTTACGTACTTATTTTTTCTTACTATATTTAGATAAATGATTAACAAACAAATGCCCTTTTCTGAGAAAGCATCTCACCAAGAAAACGATAAAACAGGCGAAGGCCAAATCTTAACAAAATGTAAATCTTAGAAAAGCTTTCTCCCCATTCCTTATTATGCTTTGAAGACAACTCCTTTTGATAGCTTCAACTAAATATAAAATGGAATAAAATAGGCTAAAATCTTATGACATGCTAAAGCCAAACAGAAATGTCATTTATATTATCTACTCTTTTGGATTTCTGCTCTTTGTTGTCTTCTTATTGAAGCCTGTCTAAAATTTTAAAATGTGCTAAATCATGGTGATTCAGCTTTTTGAAAAGTCTTCTGAATTTGATTACTGTTTCAATCTTTCAGTTTCTTTATTACATGTTTGCCTCCAACATTTTAAAAATGTCGAGTCAATAATACCATGTGTCTTTTTATAATTTCTCATTGGAAAAATATTTTACATGCCGTTTGATGAAGAAAACTTGTTGGATTTATTAACATAAAAGATAAAAGTGGAGATCACTTACCTCTTCAATATTAAACTATTTATTGATATTTTTACAATATATGTCATTGTTTTTTTCCCAGAAGAAACAACCAAATCTTACAAGGGCAGTTGAAAATATACAGATTACCGAAGAGGATAATGAGATAAGGTATTTTGTTTTACTAAATGCATTCACAAGTGAGCTTGACATCGTCATTTCACGGACCACGCACGTTGTCATAACGTCTGTAAGAAGTTGCTCACTCTTACAATAGCAGCTCCCAACGCATGTCTTCTAAGCCTTTGTCCACACGTCTAACTTCACACTCTCTCTGCAAGCCTGCATCTCCATTCACCTATAGAATTCTTTCACAAACTTTCTTAGGGTATAAGAAGTGGTCCTCTCTAATTTATTTCTGTAAGCAGTCTTGCTCAGGCTCCTGGTCATGGGGCTCAGCAGGCATGTTTGCTTATCCTTCTTTTCCACACTGTTACCCAGACACTACTGATTCCTATCTCAAGTCTCATGGTAGCTTAGCTCTTTCATTGGCAATAGTGGTTATCTTCATAGGAAGTGGTTAACTTCCTATGAGTTGCTGCCATAGAGTCTGTTTTTCTTAGCCTCTCTCATCTCTACCTTTCTCAAATTCTTCCTTAAACTCTAGTTCATAACATCACTTCCTAGTGAAGATACTTTATGTGGTTTTTCTCTTGCGTAGGTAATGTATTTGACTTCACACTAGTTTTAGACCCCTTACCTCTTCCCAATGTATTCTGTATTTTCTCCAATGCCAAATATAAAATATAAAAATTGTTTTAAGATACCTTTCCACTTACTGTAGCTGACTATGATCGCTTTTTTACCTTATGCCATATTGCCCCAGTACTGATATTTTGATCTTATATTCAGTTATAGTTTTCATTTGTCATGTTACTTTCTGTCAGCTTATTCCTATGTATATGCATATTCACAGGCTCAATGCATAGGAGCATTTTTAACATGGACATATGCATGTGCATGGACAATATTTAAAACTACTCGGGGAGACTATGTTGAGGCAGATAAGGTCTTCCCCCATCCTTATAGTATTACTTAGGAAGGTAAGCTTCCTGATCAACTTTGCAACCTTTTGTTACTGTATTTACAGAAAAAAAAAAAAACCTGCCTTTTACAATACTCAGATCCTGGTGTACTTCAGACTCTCTGTCCAAAAGCAAATAAGCATTTTTCTTGTTGTTTTTCAGTATGTTGCAAGAGAAAGAAAGAGAGTTTCAAGAAGTGTAATTGTGGCTTATATCAACACTGTTACTTTTGTACATAGGTAAGTTTTTAGAATTCAAGCTGAAAGACTTAACAAGATCTATAGAGCATCATAGAGGCCAAAATTTAGAAACAAAATGTATTGTCTTCTATTAAGCTGATGTTGGTGTGTTAACTGAAAAGCTGTTACATAATTGAACTGTGCATTTGAAATCCATTGTTATATTCTGAGGTTTTGAAAGGCAAAGGACTATTAGTCCTGATGAGTGGATTCATCTTGTATGGAGGATACATAAAAAAAATTAAGTATTTACTGTTTGTGAAGCCAGAAAATAAATTACACAGGGAAATAATGTAACTTAGTACTAAAATAAAATATTGTTAGTAGAAGAAGAATAAATAAAATCAGCTTCAATTTGGTATAACTACTGTAACATGATTTTTTTAAAAAAAGTATTTCATTTGTTAGATGCTGAAATGAGCAAAAACAAAAACCATGTTGCTGACATTTTAAAGAAAGAGGAGAAAAGGTCAAAATATCTTAATCAGGAGAGGGAAGTTGTCAAGGTGAAGTGCCACCTGTCTCATGACTGATAAACATTGGGCCTTGTCATAGTATAGACTCCAGCACACTCTGAATATAAACCAGTGAGAGATACCCTTTGTGATTGTGTGGGTCTGCGGAGGGCTTGTGGGTGAAAGGAGGGTGAGAAAACATGCCCAGAAGGCACTGATGTTCACACCTCCCCTCGCAGCTCCCAAACTCCAGATGCTGTTGAGGGAGCACCCTGAAGGGCACGACCCCTGTCCAGCATCCATTCATGCTCTTCTCTCTTTCTCTTCTGCCAGCTGGCTCTTAAGTTTGTTATGCCCATGGATCCTGAGTGCATTTATTTCAGTAAGTGTTCTCTCCTACTCTTCAGTTCTTTCCCATATTCTCTCATGGCCAGAGGATCATTGCTTACTCTCCTGGATTGCATAGATATGGTCAGTGGTGAGCTTGGTCGTTTCTTTACAGGTCACTGTCCTTCCAACTTGCACTTCTGTACCAGATTCTGACATTGATCTCTATAGAGTGAAACTTCCCCAGGAAAAACTGGGTCACAGAGCCCTCCACCTCCTCCAGGAGCACTCATTTCTTGAATTATAGAATACCATTCTCCACAACCCAAAATAACACGATACAGTAACAATTATGTCACATATTTCTCTAACACTTGAAGCCTGTTACTGCGCAGACTTCATTTTTGTCTTTAATCCTGCCCGTGATCACTGTGTCCAAAGCACATATCCTAGCTTCTCTCTAGGCTTATTTTTCCTGTCAAATAAGGTAAGTGAATAGATCCTTAGCTCAGCCGTTTTCATTTTCTGGAGTCATGTTCCCCAGATGAAATCATTGTTTTTCTTAGAAACCTATTTCTCTGCCCCTCAACCCCAACACAAGCCTCAATGTATTTTTTCTATCTGCCATTCCAGTTCCCTGAGCCACACATCCACAAATCTTCCATTAAATGGCTGAGTCTTAAAGGCTCACGTAATGTCCTCTGTTGCTTGGTTTTGGGTTGCATAGCTGGGATCCTGTTTGGGCACACAGGTTTTTAAGCACGTGCCTTTTTAAATGTCTCCTGTGACATTTGGAGAGTGGATTAGGATGAGAAAACCCAGGGCACTTAAGAGGAAAAAAAATGATGGCATTTTAAAGCAGCTATAGTCCAGCAACCTATGCATATGTCTACTAGTCAGGGAACATTCAAGGACAGGAACTGAGTCTGTCTGGTTCTTGCTATATGTCTTCACTTGTTGCCTGTGCCTTGTAGACTCTCAGTAAATGTTTATTGAATGAATAACTGAGTGAATGAATAAACTGTCATTGAAAGTTTACCAAGAAGATAGTTAGCTCTGCTACGCAATATTATTAGGCTTATAGTTAACAGTGTTATATTGTGTACATAAAAGTGTGTTGAAAGTAGATCTCATGTTCTCTTTCCTCAATGAAATACAAAAATTTAATATTTTAAAAACTAAAATAGAATTTATTTTTATCTTATATGCATGAATGTGTTTAATTTGGTCAATAGAACAAAATTATGCACAGCAAGAGGGGAATATACTCATATGGGAAATCACTAATTTATTTTTTCCAAAATCTAAAATGTTATCCATGTATAAAGCATGTCAAAGGAGACAGGTTAAAAAAGAAGCCCTGAATTTTTTTAGTTATAAACTTATCACATATCGATTAATCAGTGTAAAATGAGCATTCCCCTTCATAAAGTACCTAACCCATCATCTCCGCAAAGCTCTCTCAGCACTCAGCGCCAATGCCCCAATCTCCAAAAACCTAACTACCCGAATATAACTAATCTCTCTTTAAGTAATCCCTGTGTTTCACATTACATTCCATATGATATAAAATACTAATATATTAGAAGGACATTTTGTGTCCTCTTCTAAATGATAAGCTCTTAGAAGGCAGGTTTGTTTCTGATTTTCATTTTGGAATCCCACCAAACTATATAGCTTTTACTTTATGCAGGTAAGTGATGAATAAACATTTGTTCAGTAAATGCATGAAGAGATGAATGAGTTATCTCAGAATGTTACAAAATGTGAGAATAAAATTTATGGAAATAAAACCAAAAATACACTTACATGTGCAAAAGTAAATAAGTCAAATTCTAAAGACAGGATAAAGGAAGAAAACAGAAGCAGCTCATTATCATGAATCTGCAGGCTCCAAAGTCAAAATTTGTATTATTTGTAATCATTCATTGAGTACCCATCCTGTAGAGTAAAGCCTTTTGCTAGACCATATACCAATACAAGTTTAAAGTTTCCAAGGAACTTTGAGTATAATTTGGGGAAAAAGATATGGTGGAAGGAAACATAGAAGAAATCTGCTGAAAACTAAGAATAACAGAAAAACAGAAGTAAAAAGTACCAAGATAGAAATGAAATGGGGAGTTGTAATTATGTATTTTCAAAATAAGACATAATTTGGATTATGTTCATTTTCTTGGTTAACAATAAAGGGGAAAATCCAGGGTGAATGACTCATTTATGGCAAAGATTCCCTGAGAGAAAAGTCTCACTAATTAGAACAAATTAAATCAGGACAAATATTGGAACACTAGAATATAAAACAATGGAATAGTTAATTCTCCAAAGGAAATAACCTATAAATGGAAAATGAAGAGGACATTTTGATATTTTAAATACAAGAAAAGAATATGGAAGAAATGTAAGATAATGAACGAAAAACAAAAGAAGTCACCTCTAAGAGAAAATGCACTAAAGCTATATCTGTTTGACATCAAACAAGAAAAATATGTAAGAAAAGTTAAAAATTCACTTGATCAGTTAGCAGATGCCCAGAATTTGTCATTGACTGGATTGTGTATGGCATGGTTTAAGAGAAAGAAATAAAATAGAATTTATTTTTTGTTCTTCCTTCTTCCAGCAAACTCTAGAAGGTGCATTGTTGCATGCAAAGCTTAATGCCACCTAGCTGTATCCTCCAGTTGCTTATAGCCTACAAAAAGGAAGTAGGACATATGCATAATAACCTATTTTGAAAAGGAAACTAGAAGTTTACAAAGTTTAAAAAGTAACTAAAGGAACATGCAATAAGAAACTGAAGATGAGGCTACTGCATATGGCTGTATGAGATGTGCCTGCAGTAGAGCTCTAGATACTGGTCTGGATGGCATCCCTTAGCATTGTACCATGCACACCCACATACAGTTGCTTTATTTCAAGGGAGGGAGAAATCACTAGCAACAAGAAAGGCTTCATTGTATAGGTAATACAGGTGGCGTTGGTACTAAGCCTGATGTTAAATGATTGGTAAGCTTTTCTTAGCACTAGGGAGGGGGTAATCTGGATTCTGCAAATGGTATAAACTAAGTCCGAGAAGCCAGAAGTACAGACCTGTGTTCCAGAGTCAGTTTGTTCAGTCGTATGGCGGTGGAGGTCACAGTGCTGAGTAAAAAGAGTAAAAGTGCTGAGAAGAAAATGTGGCAAAATTCCATGTATGGGACTTACGCTGTATTTAGCAATATAAGGAACTGTTGGAGGGTTCAGAAAAGATGTGAGTGATACAATTGAAGTAGAGTTTTAGGTCGGTAATCAAATGCGAGTGAGGCCAGATTAAGGGGAATGGTGAGCTGGAGTCAGGGAGCCCTCTTAGGAGGCCCATCTTCTAAATAGATGTGAGGGAAGGATGACCTGAACTAGGGTCAGAGCCAAGGAAACAGGAAAGCATGGAACAACAGGGAGACATTTCAGTAAAAGAATCAACAAGTCATAGTTACTGATAGGACATGAGGATCGAATCACAGGGAGTACTTAAGGGTGATTTGGAGCCTTTGCGACTAACCAGATGGTGGTGCTGCTAAAAGAAAACAGAAACAGCTGTTAGTAAATATTGACCAGTGGCCAAATATGTTAGACTAGCATTCAGAGAACAGCCAGGGCTGCAAATACTATAATTGGAATTTGAGACTCAGCTACAAAGAACATTAATTGAGAGTTTGGTGAAAGGACTGCATAGTCACCTGGAAAGCCTGGTTTGGTTAACACTAAATAGCATGAGTTTGTAGACATTTAGTTAGCATTGCGTATTGATTTATACCAGGATATTAAGAGTAGAAGATAGCTTCCAGTATAATGAGGCTGGTAGAGGGATTTCCTAAAAGAAACACAACTGGGAGTTTCCTGTAGACCTAAGACAGAACATAGTAGATCCTAGAATTAGAATACAGACGAACATGAATCAGGTGTGGTCATTTAGCGCACGGAATATGGAAATGATTGGTAACCAAATGGCAAGAATGTGACTCTTTACCAGGTTATTTCCTAAGAATTTCTGGAGCTTTGGGGTTGTTGGGTTTTTTTTTTGTTTTTTTTTTTTTTGAGCTCTCCTTCTATAAACACATTCTGATGCAGAGGATTAGAAGGGATTTGACTTGGATTCAAGTCTTGGCTCTGCAAACTTAACTAGCTATAGGTTCCTGAATGAGTCAATTGTCTTTTAAGCCCTAGATTTTCAAATATAATGGGGGGATAATAATACTTAACCTGCCTTATGTCATGTGGTTGTTGCAAAAAATTATAGTTCAGCTTTCAAGTTTATTTTCTTTGCTAAATAATCGGGGGGGGGGGGGCAGGGAACAGAAAGAGATTGCTAATCTTGCTTTCTACATTTAAATTTAGAATCTTAAATTATTCATTGCTTTTCTGTGATTCCCTCTTGCTTTTCTAACTAAAGTTTATTTTTAAAATATCGGCTGTATGTTGGATTTCTGAAGTTTTCTTTCAATGCCTATTTTTCCTTCAGGATTTAATTATGCTTTTCTAAATATAAGTTCTCCGGTTCCTAGAGTTCTCTCTTGGTAAATTGTCATGCAATACAGTTTTTAGTATACTGCATTTCGAAAGACTGGGGAAAAAAATACACTGCATTTCTTATCACTCATACTATGGAATTTTATACATAACCTGTGCAATGATTTCAAATATTTTAATACCAGTGATCTGTGATTCTGGGAATGATAAATAAGGATAAAGCCAGCAAGAAAGTAGTGAGTAGGAAAAAAAGAAACACAAAAAACCGCACATTTATTTAGAAGTTGCATGAAGATGAAACCAGAAAAGACAGCATTCGTGCTGCCTGCCACTACCAGAACCAGTAAGTAGAGACAAGGATTGATCGTTATGGGTGCCAGCAATCTGAGAAGCCTGGGGGTAATGTACCCTAAAAACTGTCTTACTATCTCATCTCAAGATGACCTTTTTATGAGAAGAAAAGGGAAGGTAAGGAGTTTGGAATTCAGGAAAAGAGTAGGTAAGGGGTTTGAACTCAGAGAAAAAGTTTAATCAGGTAAAAGCTACAGTCCAGTGATTTTCCTAGCATCCCTTTATCTGCTGACCATCTGTTCCTTATCTGCACCCTGATTGGTGGGCATTCCCTCCCTGAAGCACAATAGCTCAGATACCGTCTTGATCACTTGCAGTCCTCCTGGGCTACAAGGGTGAATTGTGTGCAGGCCCCATGGAGACAGGGTAGGTCCAGTTGTGCATTCCTGTTTCTGGAACAACAGCTTTTATGTGCATTAATCACTAAGCCTATTAACTATAACTAAAGCTAAAAAAAAAAACTTAACCCTTTAGTTCTCCCATCAAAGATACTATCTATAATTTTTTTAAAAAATAGAAAAGGAAGAACAAATATTTCACTTGAAAGTTGCAAAATCTGAAAGCTGAGTCCAGAGCCCAGCGGTTTAACACCAGCATAGAGAAACTAAAAACAAAGTTGGTTTTCATGCTTCAACAAGTGCAAAAACTGTGCAGAGCCAAATGAACTTCCCAGAGGCTTTGTCAGGATGTGGTGCCAGGATTTCTGTCCTTTCGTTTTCTCTTTGACAGGGATCTTGTTGCTGCTCCTCTGTTGAGAGAAGCCATTGCTAGAACCTAGCCAGGCAATTCAGATACTGGCACTGCTCAGTGACAAGGAGGCCGTTACTTGCTGGTGGCCTCTGACCAGCCTCTCCACCTGTCCCAGTTCTCTCTCTAAACAGTCTTTGTCCTTCAAACCCTTCCCCCTCACCACCTGTCTGCTACCTTTTCATAGCCTTTTCAGAGAAATTCAAGCATGCATAGGTTGGTAACCCTCTTACCACAAACATAATCTGTGGTGTACTTGGGGGTGTGAAAGCCACAGGATTTCATTCATCTGTTCTTGTGTGCAAGAAATAGTTACTGAGTATTGTTTTGTGCCAGGCACTGTTCTAGGTAATGGAGTGCTTAGTAAGTAAAAAAGATAGACAAAGCTCCGTGCCCTCACGGAACGTACATTCAACAGGAGCAGACAGGCAATAAACAAGAAGATCATTTCAGATAATGCATGCATTGTAAGTCTGTTACTAATTCTGTAATCATATGATTTCAGCTATTGAGAATGAAGGAAGGCAGAAAGCAGATACGCCCTAATCTCTCTTTTTGTCTTTTCTCACTAGGCGAGTAACAGTTCATGTTTGCTTCATAAATGAAGCAGCTTTAAAGAAATTCATATTCTGTCTGGAGTGACAGACCACAACTTTACCTGTTCTTGCTACCCATGACTCTATATGGATGATTCAGAAATTGGAACAAAGTGTTTTACTGTGAAACTGGCACTGAATTAATCATCTATAAAGAAGAACTTACATGGTGCAGGACTCTATTTTAACGACCTGGGGGACTTGTAGTCTCATTTAGAACCTGCAACTGATGTTGGGAGAGAATGCACGTGTCCCAGACTGCGCGCCCGTTTTGCATGCCTCCAGAAATGTCTAATTGCTGAGAAGCCACATAGCTTTATTTTCAGTTACAATTTGCAGTTTGTAGTTATCTTAGTCCCCTCAAGTAGAGTTCAGCCTGGAGCGTCAGGGTAGTAATTTTTCTCAAAGGGATCTAGAGGGATTTTAAATCCAAAAAACTTGATCGCATCTGCCACTGTACATATGAAAAGCAGTGAAGGAAAAGTGATTGGAATAGGTATCATGTCAGCCTTGTAGTTGCTGATTAATGATATGGGTCTGATCTCGGTCTCTTCCTGATATAAATCATGCTCAGCCCTATCCCACTAGACAGATGGACATGGTTGGTTGCATCTATCTGTGCTGGGGAGCCAGCACTGAACTAGAACAGTGATGCCTTTGCAAAGAGGAGACTCCCCAAAAGAGTCATTGCACGAAGAACATACGAATACTGAACAGCACGAGAGTCACCGAGGAGGACATTTGTCAACCCTGCTGAAGTCGGCCTTTTCCATTGACCACTGTAAAGTGCATAAATCATGCTTGCAAAATACATTGCAAAATGTTTATATTCTAAAACTATTACAGAGTTATGGAAGGGGACTTGGGGAAATTGCTGAATGTATGAAGGTCCCGTTTTCAATTTCCACCATGGGAGAGAGTAAATATAAATTATGACATATAGTATCTAAGGTTAGAAAACCATACCCACATGCTAATATGGGTGTTGAAACTAGGTTACTTGGCTTTTACAAGAATGCAAGAAATCAGAAAACTCTACTTATTTATAGTATAATCACCATTATCTGTTTAAAGGATCCATTTATTTAAAATCAGGCATTCTATATCCATTAAGGTTTATGAATTAAAAATAAAAAGAGAGCTTTATGTAGTTATGCATGTCAGTTTGCTACTTAAAATGTATGACTGCGTTTGTCATATTAAGAGTGAATTTGGCAGGAATTCCCAAGATGGACATTGTGCTTTTAAACTTGTAAGAGTTTGTAAGAAATTGTAAGATGTGAATTTCCCTTGCCATTTTTTATTTAACAGTCAAAGGAACATCTGACTGAAGTCAAAGAATGCATTCCTATGGCTTATTTTGATGAAGGTTCTTTTGCAATATCATAAACATACACAACATAAAGGAAGCCAAAGCTTTCCATTATAACTTAATTCTTATAATAACATTATTGCCAAATACTACCACCATCAGATGACCATTTTCAACGTAGTGATACAAAAAGGCATGAGAAACTAACTGCTAGCTTTTCTTTGATTTCTAAAATGTAAGAATTTCTAGTGTAGTTGGATTTTAGCTTACATTCAAATCTAATCCAAATATAACTTGAATACGTGGCCTTTGCTCTTTTTTGTACCAAAGAGCCTAAACAATTTCTACGATCCCTTCTCTAAAGTGCTGTGGTTCTTTGAACACTTGTCATTTTTCTAAGATACACCTTAGTGCTTTGGGAAGCTCCATTAACCTATTTAGGCCCTCAGATATCACGTGATATAGTCAATTAGCAATAGAAACAGAGGTCAGTTTAATTGCTGAAAGGACCTGTCTCAGTCATGTGTCATTGATTGTTTAGAGGAAAATAGACATAGATTAATATGAGTTTAGGAGTAGGTCACAACTAGATTGAGAAGATTAATGCTTAGTAGTTGGACTTGTTTCACCAATGGTTTTGATCTTCATAGGCATGTGACAATGTTGTTTAATGAGCTTGAGAGGATAATAAATGCACTTTTGTTCTCAACTAGTATCTGGGTCTTAACATGCAAAGACAGGGTCCTAATCAATAGAGTTAAATAAAAAAATTTCAGCAAATTACGAAATCTGGCAAGGCAGGTAAAGGGAAATATATTCTGCCTAATTAAATATATTGGTTCATTGAGAGTTACATCGATTACCAGTTTTTAAAACACTGAATTTCCATAAAATGCATGAACAATAGAAAAATGCTGAACATTATTTTGGATGCTAGCTGCTTGGGCATTAATTGTGTCATATCTGCTTTAGGACACATATATATAATATATACATATAAATTCGTTTTGTGTTCTGAATATTTTTCATAAATCAGTGTTTCAAAATTGCCTTTTAAACTGATCTTCAGAAATCTGCAGATTCTAAATTATACTGAAAGCTTTGTACCTTTGGTAGAACCCAAGTTTATAAAGAAACTAGCTCTGTGATAAACTATTCTTGCCCAGTGATATCCAAGTGCTTCTGGATTTTGTACTATAATCTAATGTGCTCACCACACTGCCACTTTTTAATGATTCAGAGACAAATTGGTTGTTTTAAAATACAATAATAGAATAAGTAACCTGCCCCCTTCAAAGAGGTTTAAGTATGTGAAAAATGAAAAGGTATGAAAAAGCATGTGTCCGTAATGAGGTATTTGTTCTGTAGTAAGAAATATATTTCATTAAGCATTAAAATATTTTGGAGAAACAATGACATGTTTTGGAACTCTAATTCAATTGAAGTGAAATTAACAAAAGTGTTCAGAATTCATGAATATTACTTACTGTGTTTCTGCAGCTACGTTTTGGTTTCAAAATGTAATTCCAATATTCACATTTAGCCCTTCCATATCTATGCTCCTTTAACTACAAATTATTTTTCCAAAAGGCAGGTTTAGCATAGCAGAGTAAATGTTGGGGAAAAATTGTAACAATTCTCCACTTTGCTATTAACTGATATTGGTAAGTCACTGCCCCTCATTGGGTCTCAGTTTTGTATTTACCTATATGGAGAACCCAGAGGTCCCATATTAGGTGGGAAAGCTATTGATAGAAGACTGACAATGAAAATAAAAGAGAGAGCTGAAACCACCCCATGCAAAATATTCAACTCTGGTCTCAGTGAATAAGCAACTTGAACATAAAAAGTCATGGCTGCCTTGGCCGGGGAGCTCCGTTGGTTACAGCATCATCCTGATGCCCCAAGGTTGCGAGTTTGATCCCTGGTCAGGGGCACATACAAGAATCAACGACTGAATGCATAAATAAGTAGAACAACGAATCAATCAATCTCTCTTCCCTCACCCTCCTTCCCTCCGCCCTTCCTCTGTCTCTTAAAAAAAAGTCATTACTGTTCTTGTTTGTAATGTAAATAGGGTCCATTAGTAAAAGTGAAACTTAGTCTCTTGTGGGGTGAATTGGATAACCATTTACATAAGAGATAGCTTTTTCCTTTGCTTAAATAAACGTTTTTGGATCACCTCTGAAGAATGAAAAGCACTACTATGTTTTAGTCATTTTAATCAGGAAGAGATATAAGATGTGTGTAACATTTGGTAATGTACCAAATGTAACCATTTAAATCTCATTTTCTTAAAAGCTAAGAGCAGAAAATGTAAGATGCTCATCAAGTTTTTTAGAATGCCAAAAGATAATTTAGAATCTATTTGGAAAGGAGTAATTCATAAATTTAATTTTAAGTTGGAAAGCAGGAAAAGAATTTTAAAATAAGCTAGCTTGTCTTTGAAACAACATTTTGAAATTGTCATTAAAATATAAACACTCAGATTGAAATTCTGACTTGTTTATTTATGATATCAGGTCACATAATGGATGATGTTGCTGCTTTCCATGAACAAGTCTGGAAATGCTTTTGTTTGTAAAGAAAAAATAATAGTGCTTTTATTTCCTAACAAGCTATTGTTTTAGAAATAATCCATATTAAAATGGATACTCATGACCCTAAATATTTGCTAAGCATTTTAAACTGATAACTGCCATCTCCAACTACATCCTTATGATGTTTTTGAAAATAAGATTAAGTTAACTGTAAACTAAAAACTGTAGTATTTTCACTTACTTGTTTTTTGAGCTGTAAGACTCACTAAATGACATGTTCTAACAAAATACCCTATTCTCCTATGTTCTAAAGATTAATATGTGATTTTAGTGTCCCACTTGCCAAAGTTTTTTAAATTAATGGATGTGGAAAGTATTCATTTAGATGAATGCACAGATGCATTGCTAGTTCAGTCAGATTGGAGTTTTCCTATTGTAATGTAAATGTATGTCAACACTGTTCTAAATAGTTTTATTATGACAAGTTTAATTAAATAAAAAAGGTTGTAAAATGTGATGTGTATGTGTATATACTGTATGTGTACTTTTTAAAATAGGTATATGTTCTGACCTTTTTTATACAGGTTTGAATTTGAAATTACATTATATATACATATACTTTATTGTTCTAAATAAAGAATTTTATGCACTCTCATAAATTTGCCCTGTTATTTGATATTTTAAGGTTACCACACATGTTCACAACATGGTTCGGTATTTAAGCTAAAATCAAATTTTTCTGTAGAAACTTTGACATTAATCTAGATTTTGTTGTAATATGGACAGAAGAGGGTAGAAAATCATTTCAATTCAATAAATATTTATTGGTCACTAAAATAGGTAAGATAATCAAGGAAAGTAAAATTGAATTAACACATTGTTTGATCTCAAGAGGTTTCTACCTTAGTTGGGGAGAAGATAGGAAACACACTAGGTATGCCAGGGAGGACCCCAAAAATCCAGAATTTATTTATAAAAAATTGTGTATTTATTCTTACATGTTTAAACTTCAGTCACCTTAAAAGTACTCTCCATTTGATGCAATACACTTACCGAGACATTTTTTTTCCACTGCTCGACTCGACAATTTTGATACCTTTTAGTGCCTCTTCTGTTGTTTTTGTGTTTTGTTTTTTTTTTCACCTCTCCCACAGTGGCAAAACGTTTCCCTCTTGAGGACTTTTTTCATCGAGGAAAACAAACATCATTTAGGGAAGATCAGGTAAATAGGGCAGGGTCATGCCATTTTTGGTCAAAGACTGCTGAACACTCAGCACCGTGTGATCAGGTGCACTCGTAAATCACCCATCATAAAATGGGCAAACGCATTCAAAGAGTCTTCAAATAAAATTCACTGAAGCTGAATGCAGCCTCTCACAACAACACCAGCTGGTACACTGATTCAGATGGGTTCCTAGAACACTCACCTAGGGAGGGAAGCCTGTACTATAAAGGGCCTGCCCTCCAGAATGATTCGGGGTTTGGGGGGCACCCCCCGCCCATACAGCCACACTAAAGTAAATACCTAAGAGCAAAACTTAGGTCCAGTTAATGTGCTTAGAGTATCAGAAAAGAGGAATGGGTACAGATGAGAAAAGGTCATGGAGAAGTTGGTATCTAGGCTAGCACAAAGATGAAATATTCTGATAGAGAAGAATTACCCCCAGACTGAGCTGTGTTGCTAGTAGTAGAAAGCTATAAAATTTCTCACCTTATTCCCTCAAATCAAACCAGTGTGTACTGAGCGTATAGTGCATAATGAAATTTATAGAGCAATGAGACCAGAACCTCGGATGCCACAATGAGGAGGGCAGATGTTTTTCTTAAGGACCATGGGAAGCCATTGCATGTTTCTAAGCTGAATGACAAGGTCAAACACTGTCATGGCTTATGTGGTTTAGGCATTAAATAATCATCCTGCTTAACATGACTCTTGAGAGCAACTCTTCCAGCTTTGTAACACCACACTTAATTCACCCACCATTGAAAAAATAATTTCTTTGCTGATTCTCCTTACTCTGCTCACCCTGTGTACACCAGTGTAAGCCCAGACAACTATAATGGCCTCCTAAGTGATCACACACCTCCGTTATTTAGCCCTTTTTCAATCAGTCCTTCACATTAGAATGACTGTATAGAGTGAATGGAGACAACTGATGATATTTTTCTCATTAAAATACTTAATTGATTTCTCATCATTTTCAGGATAAAACCTAACTCATCAACATGGCTTCCAAGGCACTCCTCAATCCATCTCATAATATGTTGGGGGGAATTGCTAAATTGTTTTTTTGTTTAAGCTATCTGTAACATGAGGACTAGAGTCAATCAAGAATACTTAAACCACTGCATTCCCAAATTTAATGCAAATAATAAGGCATAGAATTGAAATAAAATTTGTATCACCTATTGCAACTTTTTATTGTGGACACTTTGAAATTCAAGGGGAAGTTGACCCTTGAAGAACACAGGTCTACAAATGCATGAGTGTTTTCCAATAAATGCACAGTAGGCGCATATCCCCAGGTTTTCTATCCATGGATGCAACCAAACATGGATTGAAAACAGTATTATCGGTCCACAGTTGGGAATCAGAGGATGCTAAGGGCTAACTGCATTTTTCTCACCATTCTGTATAAATGCTTCGAGCATTTGCAGATTTTGCTGTCTGCCAGGAGTCCTAGAACCAATCTCCTATGGATACTGAGGGACAACTGTAGTTAAGTTTTTTGTGGAATCAAGGTTACACGTAGACTTTTGGCTGAGTGTGGGGAGTGTCAGTGCCCCTAACCAGCATTATTCAAGGGCCAACTGTACATACCAAAGGAGACAGAGTAGTGTAATGAATCCCTATGCAATCATACCTAGCTTTGACCTTACTCAATTCCTGAGTGGTCTTGTTTTATCTGCCTCCTCGCTATACTCTTTATCCACTTCCTCTATCATGTTTTAAGGCAAATACCTAAAATATTTTATCTGTAAGTACTGTATTTATATATGTCTCTCTAAATGCTGGAAACAATTTTATTTCCTGAGTCTATTCACTTTTCCATTCTCACAGCTGACTATTTATGCATTATTTTTTTTCTCTCAAACTACCCGCCCCATTCTCCATAGCTGATAACCTTGATTGCTATTTCACCTTAAAAACTTAAATGAGAAAAGAGAACTTCTAAGGCTCCTAAACCCGAGAGGCTGATTTTCTGTGGAGCTAAAGAAACCAAAATTATGGACACCTCACTTAAAGAGGTTCTTAATATGTCCTAGGATGGTATATAGCAATATAGTCACATGGTCATATATTTCTGTATTTATCTTTAAGACATTAGCAGGTATTCTGGTGTGGAAATAACTTCTAACAACCACTGTGACCACTGTATCAATTCATTATGACACGGTTACCCAAAGGTGCTTGGCCAGAAGCTATGTCATGACTCAACCATGTCCGATGGATCTGGCACCTGAACTATGTGGGTGATGGAGGAGAAACAAGGTTTGAAATAAGTGGAGCCAGAGCTAGTTTGTGGAAAATTTTTAAAATCATCACATTCACCTGGTGGGTAAAATTCTAAGCAGAGGACTCAGGTTTCATTAATGCCTGGCCCAAACAGAAAATAGTAATGCAGAGTATACCTTCAAACATATTTTTCCCTTAATGTTGAGGAAACAATAGAATTTAATAAAATTGCTGTTTATAGAACCAAAAAAAAATCTGTATATGAGGACATATGCGTTAGGCTTCTCAATGTACTGGTATTGCCAAATGCATAGTGTTGCACATACACCATTGTGGTATCTATCATACAGAATTGTTTCATTGTCCTCAAACAATCCCTTGTGCTTTATGTGTAACATTCCCCTCCTCCCCCTGAACCTCTAGAAAACACTGATTTTTAAATTGTCTCTATAGCTTTTTAATATTTTCCAGAATTTCATATAATTTAAATCCAACAGTACATATCCCGTTCAGGCTGGCTTCTTTCACTTAGCAATATGTATTTAAGATTCATCTATGTCTCACATGGCTTGATAGCTCATTTCTTTTTATCACTGAATAATATTCCATTGTATAGATATGTCACAGTTTGTTTATGCATTCGCCTATTAAGGACATCTTGGTTGCTTCCAGTTCAGGGCAATTATGAATAAAACTTCTATAAACAATTTTTTTTTGGTGAACATAAGTTTTCATATCAGTTTGGTAAATACCTAGGGCCACTGGACTGTATGATAAGACTATGCTAAGATTTATAAGATACTCTCAATTTGTTCTCTAAAGTGGATGCACCATTTTGCATTCCCAGCAACTCCGAATAGAGGTTTTCATGCTCCATATCCTTGCCAGCAATTATTATCAGTATTTTGGATTTTGGCCATTTTAATAGGCTGGTAATAATATATCATTACTGTTTCAATTGCAGTTTCCTAATGACAAATGATGTTGGGCATCTTTTCATATGCTTATTTGCCATCTGTGTATCTTCTTCTGTGAGGTGTCCAGATATTTTGCCCTTTTTAAAATCGGACTCTTTTCCTATTGTTGAACTTTAAGAGTTCCTCATATATTTTAGGTACAAGTCCTCTGTCAGGTCTGTGTTTTGCACATATTATCCACCAGTCTTTTCATTCTCTTAAGAGTTTCTCACAGAGCAGCTGCCAGCATTTTTTAAAAACACATGGAAGAACACAGAGTATCTTGCTCAATTTATTCCCTTCTTAATCAGAGTAAAAGCAGCCTCCATACTACCTCAAATTGTTGATTACTTTCATATTTTGCTACTGCTATATTTTTTTATTTTCAGGTTCTTCTTGTTGGTGGAGTATTTTAGACACATGCAAATGTGGGCTCTTCTGTGTAGCAATGTGGTCTCCCCAGTATGAGGCTGTTGAACATAATGACATTTTAAAGACTTCAAACATATATTTTTAAAGACTCAAAAAGCCAAAACACTTGAGAAGAAAAAAGTGGGTAAAAGTCAGACATTATTGAACTTCAGTTTGGAAAGATATTTTAGAATTTTTATGAAAACAAGAAATTGCAAACTACTGATTTGCATATATAAGATAGATATACAGAATCCCTTTCTGTCATCTTTGTATTTACTTATTAAAGAATTCAGAAACTAAATAAAGAATAAATAGATATGAAACAAAGTCAATAAAGATGACGAAATAAATTTAAAAAACTACTCTGACATAACGCGAACTGTAACAAAGAATATATTGTATGCAAAGCAATAAAAGAAAATGTCAATATACTATTATGTATCTTAGAAAGGGGAAGTTATGAAGATAATTATGTATATCTTTGCTTCTATTTATAATACAGAATGCTAAATCATAAAACAAATAAAATTACCTATGGGGAAGGATATAATTGCCTCCTATGGAAAGAAAAAGTGTGAAGCTAAACTCTGAGTAAGTTAGTTTGTAGATTTGTCTTGGGAACGATGTTTGAGTCTCAGTTTTCACAATCGAACTAGAAAAAGTTTGTGAAGCAACTGAGGAAATTAAAACTCTGACTACATAATGAATTATGCATAAAGTTTATTTTCTTAAGGAGTCTTAATGGTGTCATCATATATTAAAATATTCAGCTCAGACTGTCATAACTAAATACCATATAATGAGTGGCTGGAACAACAGAAATTTGTTTTCT